TCGGAGTATCACGGTAGTTCATGATCGTTATTATCAATTTATATTATATTCTCTTAGAATTAATATAAATATTAGGAAAATTACCATAAAAGGTACTATAATTATGTTACATAGTTTAAATAAGAAAATTATTTATATAAGCTTATTGGAACTTAAAGTTTAGGACTTTCTACTCAAATAAAAAAAAAGATTTAATAACTATACTTTTAGTTAATCTTAAAATTCTAAATATTAAAAAAAAATTGATGATAATTTTATCAATATAAAATTTATTTTAAAGGATAAAAAATTCCATCAACATTTTATATATATATAATTCTTCTCCCGAGAATCTTCTCTCCATTAGAACGAAACCCCCTATTGCGTCAAGCTGTCATAATTAGTACATTTTTTTTTGTTTAATTAATTTGTCCGTATAAATTGAAAGACAAATAATTCGAGCAGAAGCACATAAGTAATCAAACAGACTAAATATTTACTCTATTTGGACCATATAAATATACTATATTTAGACTGTATAAATAAGAACATGTATATGTTCAAAGTAATACTCTATTTGGACCATATAGGAATCGCATGGGCATGAAGATCATATTTCAAGGACTATATCTTCTTAAGCAAACCAAAGTCAGCCGCATAGAATGTTCCAAGGGATCTGACCTATATGGAATATGCTGATGAGTTGATGAGTCTCTATACTTCTTAGCCAGCCCAAAATCAATCATATAGACCTATATTAATCCATGGCAATTAGGAGTCAACAGATACCATACCTGCAATAGGTGAAATAAGCAGCAAAATAAGAAATTTTATCCCAGTACCTGATTTGCACGTCTTCCTAATCCCATAAGAAAGTTGTCAGGTTTTATATCTCGATGAAGAAAAGATTTGGCATGAACAAATTCAACCCGATTAATCTGTAAATCGACAAGGATGAGAAGAGTTCTTTATATCGTCAATGGAATAAATAAAGAAATGCAAAACTTCTTACCATCTGATCTGCGAGCATGAGAACGGTCTTTAAAGACAGCTTCCTACTGCAGAAGTTGAAGAGATCTTCAAGACTAGGCCCCAGCAAATCCATCACAAGGGCATTATAATCTCCTTCAACTCCAAACCATTTTAAATTGGGGATTCCAGCTACCAATATCAAAAAAGAAATCCAACTGATAAGGACAAGAAATAAGCATCGAGTATTGAGAAAAGAAAAAGCAGGCAACATGAATATGAGAAATTACTTCCTCCTTGTAGTATTTTATACAACTTTGCTTCGTATAATAGTTGAGGATGCTTTGTTTTCACATTTTCCTGAGTATAAGAAATAAGAAATCAGCAACTTAGCCATGCAAATCAAAGAACATTTCCTCAGTGAAGCAATCGAAGGAAAGTCGCGAATGACCGAGCATTAGCAGAACTGCTCTGTACAATATTATCATGAGTATCAACAAGTTACAGGCACAACTTCAATTTAAAATCTAATATGCAATATCTATCAAGTTTTATATCAAAAACTCCAGAAAGACCATTGTGAAGCAGTGAAACTGTTTTCATTTCTTCAAAACCACGGAACTTGCTTAGTTCATGCAAATTCACCACTCAGTCTCATATTGCAGGCTAAGTAACAAAGGTGTAGATAGTAACCAGAGAATAAATCAGAACCGGACTATGTATAACAAATTCTTCACAAATTTATACATTTCCCGAAACTTGGTGGTTATTTCATTACTTCATAACACAAAAATGTTTATTCCACACAGAGCTTCTTGAACCCAGCCCATTAAACCAAACTCTGATCATACGACCAAACGATCAAATGGTCAACATTGTTTGCTGAGTGTGTGAGTATTTATTTAATCTAAACACTTAAGCGATTAAAGATGGCACAACTTTATTTGCTTAATGACATCTTTAACACGCAACTCAAAAGTGGGCTTGATTCATGCCATGCGCGTAGAAATTGAGCCGGCCACACAATTTAACATGGTACTAGAGCCAATCATTAGTAAACCTATTCTCCCACCCCAAAAGCACACATTAAGGTTCACAAGTGAAACCCAAATGAAGCTAAGCGCGCGGGAGGTGTTGAGTTATAAAATTGTCCCACACGGTTATGTAAGGGCTTGCAAGGGGTTTATAATGGTCTTGAGTCACTCCACTCATTATCTTAAGGTTTTGGGTTGCTTACTCAAATCATTTACTAATACGTTACTAGAACAAGCAAAGGTCATGGGTCTGAGCCTCACTATCACTCTTCATCAAGAAAAGATTTCCATGTGCTTGGCAAAATCACATCCGCACATAAGTAGGGATGTTAAAGTATACCTAAATGCATTCTCTTTAACAGCTTAAGCTTAATACCCCTACCCCTACCCCCACCCCCACCCCCAAAAAAAAATTAGCAATTGAACACAAACCGTGCATCCACATAATTGTTTGTTTTAGTGGCTAACCATAACCTACCATCATCGAATAACAGCTAATTCGCAGGCTTTTAGTAGCAAAACATATTCTTTACATTTTCAATTACCAAAGCAGAGACTACACACTACAGAACTATACTTCTGTAACAACTTTGAACTAATAGATTATGAATTGGGAAATAAAAAAGATCAAATTTTGAACTTACCAGCTTAATTGCAACCTCTTCATTAGTTTGAACATTAGCCCCTGAAAAGCATACAAAATCACCAATTAAACTAACCCCAAAAAGAAAATGAAACCTGAAAATGAATGAAAGGTGTTCATATTACCGAGATAGATCTCTCCAAAAGAACCGCTACCGATTTTCCGGCCAAGCCGGAACTTATTACCAACACGAGGCTCCATTGGAGACTAGAAATTGGGAATTATTAACCGCAAAACTTAATCCAACATAGGACGAATTAAATAATTAAAAAAACTGCAAGATTTCAGCTTTTTGTAATTTTTTTATTTTTGACCTTCATGAGTTTGGGCTCAAGAAGGGAAAATGGAATAAGTAGCATCACCAAGATTACATCACGGCTTCAACGATGCTTATCATCCCATTGGAATTGAATAGTCCGTGATTTTATCCTCTTTACCCCATTTTATTTGCTGCTATTATTATACGTTTTTTATTTGTCTTTTTGCTTTCTGTAATATCTTCTTGTTCCCCATCAGTCCGAAAATACGATGTCGTACTCTTGTCTTGCGAGATCTTCGGGTCTGCTATATCTACACGTATAGATATTTCAATGACGATTCTTTGGAAATTTGTCAGAAAACACTGCATATATACAGTGTATTTCTTAGAATGTCCATACAGCAATATACATTCACTTAAATACAATTTTATTTATAACAATTCCCCTTGAATGTTTTAGTGAAGGAAAAAGAATACACGTGTTTAGAAATAAGCCTTTTGTTGTCTCGTTACAAAAGTTTGCAAGGAAAATTCAGTGGGACAAAACCTTATAAGGGAAAAAGAATACATCGCATATCAACTCTCCATGATGAGAGCATCAATTCACATCTTTAAGCATTCGCATCCTGATCTTGTACACTAGCTTCTTGAAGATTGACGTCGGCAGAGATTTGGTGAATAAATCATCCATATTAACTCCAGTGAATATATTGCACCCTGAAAAAATCATTCTTGATGGATATATAATGCCTTTGTAATGTCGTGGAATGGCCTTCTCAATATCTCTATAGAGGTAAAAAAAATCTCGTTATCATATTATCATGCTTATAGTTACAGCAAAATACAAATGTGCACAGATTGCATTTAGAATGTAGTACTTTATGACCAAGAATTCTATATGCTTTACGCGATTTAAATCATTCAAGGATTGTCATAAATTAAGTCATATCAGTCATCTAACGACTTTAGATTTACGTCAAGTTTTCATGTCATGCTAGACATATAAGATAGATAAAGGTGATTGCACACACCATTGACTTTATACTTTCAAGTGTTTGAACAGCAGGTCCAAAACTACACATCTTTCATCTGACACTAGTTCTACTTGAATTGTTTCACAAGACCTAATATCCTCATATATATTTAGCGTTATCATAGATGTAATCGACGAACAATTTATATCAGTTCCAACCACCTTTTTCATAAAGACATGAAATAGAAATCTTCTCATTCATATTTTCAGGTGCCTGAACCTCTCTGAGATTTTATGAAGTACTATGTCATGTGATCTTCTAAATTTTTTGCCTCCTTATTATGATCAGTTGCCCATCTTCTTAATCAAGAATTTTATTTGAAAGCAATTTGTCTATATAAGTGTATCATAGACTTTGTCCTTCTAGGACTTATTTTAATATGAGCATTTGTAGTGAGAATACTGTTACTTTCTATGGGTCAGCAAATCCATCTGGAATGCCTTGCAATATATTGCAGATGCACTATCTTTTATGAACTTCAAGTTCACATTATCTTATTCGAGGATCCAGATGTACAAATGATAATTCATTCTACATAACTTTTTCTCAACAGTTATGATGTCTCCCCCTCATGTTAGAAAAACTAACTTGCTTCCTCAACTTTGAAAACTCACCTTTGTGTGTTATGGTATTAATCAAAATATACGCCGCCCATTAATAATAATAAGAAAAAGATGAAATTATTTGGATCCTAACCCTAAACAACTTGTAAATGAAGAATGTAATATACTTTCGGATATAACTTATATCAAACTGATATAGATAACTTTGTTCTCATAAGAAATAGTTTAGCTATTAAGTGGAGGCACTCAATAAATCATTTTGCTAAACTAGTTGTGATGTAAACCAACTTGTCAAGATGAAATGTCTTGAATAAAAAAAATATGAAAATTATGCTTGAAATTAAATTATTGAGCAAATTACCTCGCAAACATCAGGTTGCGGATTAATAATAATTACGCATGTAACCATTTCATAGATGTATCTTATGAGGTATACATGGCAGGTGAATTGGCCCATATTTACTTTTGATATTTCCAGCATTCATGGGATTCAATCCCAATTTTAGTTGATCTATTAATTAATGAGAACAAGCAATATAAGAGAAGTCGTAAAGAACTTTTTAGTTCTTCAATATTTAATTCTCTTTTATTTTTGCACATCATACTTAGATTGATATGGCTAAAGTAGTTATACCAACTGCATAAATTAACAACATTGATAAACTTCAGGTTTACACCATGACGTGTACAATTACCAATAATCTCCAAGTTTATTACGATATAGGTTTTTATATCAATAAACTTCTATTTTATTGTGGCATTCTTTTATTTGTGCAGTACAAATTAATCTTATGTGATATACATGGCATGTGAATGAGACCATTTTTATAGTCTCAATATAACCAATCGCTTTCGCGAATACTTTAGAAACTAAATAAGTTTTTTTGAGACTTACTACGACACAATACCTTGTTGATAATCAATTTTATTTCTCCAAAATAGTATGATTGGCTCTTCCAGAGCTCTCAATTAATTTTGTACTATCACATATTCATCAACACCTATCAGATATGGTGAATATCTCTTTCAAGGAGAAAGTTATACCTCTATGATCATGGTCAAAATCATTATAGTCAAGATATGTTACTTGCATTACTTTTGTCCTGTAATAATCACATTGCTATAATATTTTGGCATAATTACAATATGTATATGATCAATGATAATTCATGCCATAATAATGAAATTATTTTCTTATTTCATCTCAAACATTCATCTAAAGGTGAGTGTGGTATATTCACTACCGCTAGCACGTTCATATTCTTCCAAGAATGAATATGTACTCATAAATCACATGTTATCACATTCACATTATGACCATAGACATCTATATGTACTTTACGATATCTCATATCAAATTGATGACAAATATTAATTTCACAGAGTGAAGGATTATTTTGAGAATCCTTATTGTTCTCATTACCACAATGATGACGATTATAATTTTGTCTATTGCCACGTCCACATCCATTGATACCTTCATGATAATATCTTGTCTTCTTTCAAACTTATCATATTCTCTTAAGGAAACGAGAATGAAGCAAATTCAATGGGACGGGTTTGCACTTTTTATGCTCACAATCATACATGAATTTGATCATGGCAAGACATAGAAATTTTACCACTTCGGGCGGTCATAATTTCCTACAACTCTATTAGAGTTATAACCAAAATTTATTATCTTTGCTTGTATTTAAAATCAAATTATAGAATATCAAGAATTTAAAAGAGAAAAATAAGGTAAAATACTTAACTTATATCCAGAATTTATTCCTGAGGGAGGTTCATAGAATAATTGACAATCATTGTGCTCAATATAATGTATACGTTGAGGACCATGCACGTATCCCAAAGCCTCTACTCAATTGGTTGGAGTCGTGTACTGATAACGTGTTATAAAATAATAAAAGAAGAAGAAGAGTATTGCAAAGAAAAGTAGGGAGAGGGAATTCTTATTGATTTGGGATGAATTACAATGGAATAGAACCCCTCCATTTATAAGAAAAAGTGACTTAGCCGCCAAGTAACAAACCTTAAAATCTCTCTAAATTATAGATATTTACCTTAAATACAATTATATATANTACCGTTTAAATTTTAACCTCGATAAACAAAATCTTGAGAAAATAGTCTCGATTAGTATTTTAAAGCATGCTAATCAAAAATTCTTGAGCAAATTTTATGGTAATTTGCCAATATTCTGATAGTTGCATTAATTTTGCACAAAAAATCTAACGATTGCCATATTTTTTGCAACTGACCACAAAATTCTAACCGATCATCAGAATTTTTCCCATTATAGCTGAATATTCTGGTGCTTCAAAATTCTGACCAGCGTGCTTTAAAATTCTAACTAGCGTGGATTAAAATTCTAACACGGGGCCATTATCCCAAAACTTTCATAATAGGATTCAAATAAAAATAGTGGTTTGAAAAGATCTATCCAGTATCATTTCCAGTTTATTATAAGGTATGGCTTAATGATCAAAAAAATAGGTGAAGATAAGTTCTAAGGTTCATATCTAAGCCGAAAAAAGTTAGTTTATGTATATAGTATCAATGTTTTTTTCTCTTTAGTCATTAAGTACCGAGACCTCTTGCCGGAATAATGTAGACAAATGGTGAATTAAAAAGGGAAAATGACAATGTATAGTCGCTCTCAAAATAGTAGTCGAAAAATATTTTTTTTTCATATGTATACATTTTGTATGTTTTGTACAAAAATTATATAATTTTTATACACCTTTTTGGCTACAGAATATAAATAATTTCTGGTGTGTGCTAAAAGTGATAATACCCCAATTAATAAAAGGATGTTATTTTATGTATATTAGAAGAAAGGGTTATGTAGAAAAAATAGCAGAAATTGCACGGGGCGCCCTATTTGGTCGCCCCCATTTAACCTATACCCATTTTTTAAAAAGTTTTAACTTGTACCCACTTTTTAAACAACTTTAGCCCCCTTTCTCCTCCTCGTTTTCTTCTTCTTCTTCTTTCTTCTGCTGATGTTGGTGTTGCTATGAAACTTCAATTCATTGGATGATTGTCATAAGTATGTTTATCAGATTATTTAAAAACAAATTATAAATAATTACGTAAGTTAGTAGACAATAATTTGTGAATATTTTCACTACGGGAAGTTTAAGATCACACTTAGTGATTCTTTTCATGGTAATTCTGTTCTTTTCACGTTTATTGTTTCCAAAATGTATGGTTTAGATACTATTGGCAATCTGATTATTTATCTAGCATGTTAGAAAGCTTTTTCAAAAATTTCAACTTATATTGTTCTGGAGTTTTTACAAATGAACTAAATAACTTCAACATCTTCTGCTGAAGTTTTTGAAAAAGCTTTATGACAAAACTAATGAATCCAGGACAAAAAAAAAACTTCAGTTTATTTAGTGCTGAAGTTTTTACAAATGAACTAAATAACTTTAGCATCTTCTGCTGAAGTTTTTGAAAAAGTTTTATGACAAAACTAATGAATCCAGGACAAAAAAAACTTCAGCTTATTTAGTGCTGAAGTTTTTATAAATGAACTAAATAACTTCAGCATCTTCTACTGAAGATTTTGAAAAAGCTTAATGACAAAACTAATGAATCCAAGACAAAAAAACTTCAGTTTATTTAGTGCAATTACAAACAAAAACTTCAGCAAATAGAGAACAAAACTTCAGCTGCTATGC